TAGATATAACTGAAAAGATGAAATGAAATCTTATTTGATTCTTGTTTAAATTTGTAGCTTTCATCCAATGAATTGGTAATAGAAAAAAACGAAAAAGTGCACGAAAGAAGCGAATATTTTTATCGCTGCGATAAAAACGGATGGTCCATTCAATCTCATACAATGGGCTAAAAATCTCAAAAAAGAAGACGACAAAAGCACATCGCCGTTCGACAACTCAAGAGGGAACCTCCCGAGATGTCCACTTCCAATTCAAATGCTTTGTACATGGATCAATAGACCTCAGTGCGGTAGTAAATACCCTAAAAGGATTCGGGCACATGACTCTTGAACACACGGTTTTCTGCAAAACCAGTTTTTCAGAAACTCTAAAAAATAAACAAAACCTTTTATTAATGGAGCATGATTGTGGCCTGCAAATTTCCGATTAAAATGAGACGTCTCCCAGCTCTACATGACCTTTCTTTGCAAAGTTATAGAATTTATAAGAAAAGCCCTAAATATTCATTATCAGCTCAAAGCTACAGAAATAAGAAGAAATTAATTTAGGGCTTTTCTTATAAATTCTATAACTTTGCAAAGAAAGGTCATGTAGAGCTGGGAGACGTCTCATTTTAATCGGAAATTTGCAGGCCACAATCATGCTCCATTAATAAAAGGTTTTGTTTATTTTTTAGAGTTTCTGAAAAACTGGTTTTGCAGAAAACCGTGTGTTCAAGAGTCATGTGCCCGAATCCTTTTAGTGTATTTACTACCGCACTGAGGTCTATTGATCCATGTACAAAGCATTTGGATTGGAAGTGGACATCTCGGGAGGTTCCCTCTTGAGTTGTCGAACGGCGATGTGCTTTTGTCGTCTCCTTTTTTGAGATTTTTAGCCCATTGTATGAGATTGAATGGGCCACCCGTTTTTATAGAAAAAAAGAACTGCAGTTTAAGGCTGCCACTCTGAGAAGTCCGAAAAAGCGGAAGAACTCTTAATGCAAAGCGGGAAAAAACAAAAATCATTTTTTTCTCTTCTTGACGCATTTTTTGGGGATAAAACTGCACTAAAGATGAGTTTTGAAATCAGCAGATTCAGGAAGAGTGGTGATTCACGCGGATAAAGTCATTTACTCATTCATCCACTCTGAAGTGAAAATCTATATTATGTGGCGTTGCAGGAGAAATACAACAGATGACAATACAGCGATGCTTAGCGACTGCCAGTTTCAAAATATGTAATAAATCGTGGGTTTTTAAGGTGTTCTCGTTATCTGCCTACAATGTATTCAGTTTTTTCTATCTGATGGCAGAGATCATCGTGCGTCGAGTGGGGAATACCATCGGAATTGTTTTGCAAATTGCCATTATTAATTCAAAAATATTTTATGTACCGAAGTTTCATGGATAAAATTTTTGACTAATGGTTCTTGTATATCCCCATGAGCCCTACTGAGTAAAACCATTTCCAAGCCGGATGGTTCGGCTGACTGAAAGAAGGAACACTCATAAGTTTAGGACATTATTTTTCACTTAAAATATTTACCAATTCTAATCTACTAAGCGTGTAATGATTTCAAAGGCATAGTTAGATAGAGCTAATTTCAAAGTATTTATGGTAAAAACTTAATTCTATCTCGTTTGATTAAATGAAAATTAATTTTTACATGCTACCAAATATTTTCCATCTTTTTCTAAGTGACACCTACTATTGAAATGTTTATAATTCTTGAACAAAACATTTATTTGAGCTGGGACATGTAGGCTATTCTTAAGTAGTCTAGATCTACAAATTGCTCAAAATCTGTGGTAACCATTGAGCATCGCTGTACTGTGATCTGTCGTATTTCTCCTGCAATGCTACATAATATAGATTTTCACTAGGATTTTGAACTTCTTTTCTGAAAATAAATATTGCCACTAGATTGATAATCTATCTTTACACTTATTTCTATGCTTCCCAAATCTAACCCAGTAAAAATGTCTATTATTCAAAAATCGTGATAGCTCGAGCGATTAGTTTTATGTAGGAATGTAGACGACACTCAAGTATATGTATCTGTGACATATTTTAAATATAGAAATATCTAGAGAAATTTATGAACTATTAAGAGAAAAAGAGTTATTATTCAATCTCATTCTACTGTTATCAAACCAATTGTTGTGAGTATTCAAATATTTTTATTTTAATTTAAGCACAATTATTAAGCAGTAATTACAAACACACGCTTATAGATGAGAGTAGATAAACCTACTATATTAAATATTGTATCTATTATTTACCTGTTGACTATTTTTCATATTCTATATTTTATATCTACGTTTTTTACATATTTTATCTAAAACAGAACACAGACTTATATATTGTATAGGATGCGCACTAGTGAATATATAGTAACTAATCCCATTGTAAATATACCATTCATAAATAATAGATGCACCTTTTCTAGACAAGGAAGCATGTAGAGTAAAACAAATTATATCGATTTTTATACAAATAAGAATTTTTCTCTTTTTTATTATTAAACTTATCACAATTGTAAAGAATAATACATTTCATTTCATTTTTTTTTTTCATCTTTATATTTTTATTCTATTGATAATAATTTGCTCAATGATTCTCTATTAAAAAGTAATTCATGTTTTTTTTGTTTATATAAATTTATTTATTCTCTATTGATGATGTTTAATGAAGTATATCGTCTATTAATTTCTTATTAATTTTTGTTAATTGATTAATTTTTATCAAAATGTATGTGTTGTTTTTTTTTCTATTACATTTTTTTATATGTAAAAAATTTTAATATCTATGATAGTATTGATAATGGTCAAATACAGTAATATACTTTTAGAATAAGATAAATAAAATAAAAATTTATATATATATATATTTTTCTTTTTTAAGGTAAAAATATTACAATTTACGAACAAATATGTATTCTTTTATTATTAAAATGTATTTATTTTTTATTCATATTTTTTTTTTGTTTGTATAATTAGCATAATTAGTTTCATGTCGTGATAAAATAATATCCCATGTATCATAAAATTCATATGGATCTCCTCTAATACCTATATGTAATTTAGACATACAAATAAATAATTTTAAATTTTTTTCAAAATAATCATAACATGGTAATTCATTAAGAAATGTATATGAATATTCTAAACCAATAAAATCATAATATTTAACATTTGCTAATTCACGTAGAATACCTGTAATATAAACATCACCAATTCTTTGTACTATATGATCAGGTACTCTAGCAGCATTAATTAATTTTAAACATGTATTATTCATCATTAAATATCCAATACCAAATGTATAGGGTGGATAAAATTTAAATGGATATTCTTGTCTAGTTACAGCCCATTTATCATTACGATGAACAGTATTATTAAATCGAAACCATCCATAAATACCATCATATTTTTCATCATTATTATAAAGATAATATTGAATATAATTAATTAATAAAAATATGTCTAATAATACATCATCATCAGCACGAAAAATATATTTTGCCCATGGACAAAATAAACGTGTCCAATGTAGAGAAGCTAATTCTTTATGAGAGACAAATGGATAATTTTCTGGAATACCTTTACAAACAAAATAACAACAACAACAATAATAGAAAATGAAAATAAATATATTAAATATTATTTTCTAAATTTATCTACCTATTTCTACAACATCATTGAATATTTTTTGTTCATTTCTAGTTGCATATTGTGTTGAATCATCTGTTCCAACAAAAAATACTGTTTGAATCTGTAATTTTCCATAATAAATATTTCTACCCCATGTTGAACGAATAGCCAATCGATAATCAAAATTGAGTGCACGTGATAAAACTAAAATTAATAATAAATTATGTCCTTGTGATCGTTTTTCAAGTGGACATATTGGATTATTTGTATTTGGTGGATTATTATAAATAAATCGATCAATAATTGTGATACTGTCAAGTGATTGTTGTTTTTGTTGAACAAATGTTTTATCAAAAGATTGAAATTTAATAAAAAAATTTTTATTATATTTCCAAATATTTTTGACTTTTGATGTTTTATAAATGTAGAACTGAGAACGATTATCAATTAGAAATAGAAGGAAAATATATAAAATAAGACTAACTAATAATAGACATATAATAATAACAAAACTATATGTCACATGTGAACGTGTCATTGGAAGGTAAGATTGGATTTTTTTTTCTCATTTTTTCTTTCATATACACACACACTATTTATTTTAAATTGATGGTAGGTATCATTAAAAAGTATAGTTATTTGATAAAGGTAAAATGGTTATTACCTTTGATGAGAAAAAGAGGAATACTAGTCATGCGTAACATAATATAGTGAGTCAAATTATTGATTAAAAATGTTATATAAGTATCAAAGTAATAATAATTTGAGGACGGATATGAGAAAAAAATGAAACAGGTCATTTTATGATAAGTGCATATATGTGACCCAAGGGGAAAAAAGTTAGTTCCTTCTATGATATTGAAAGGAGAAGCGTAGATTCTGTAATTTAAAATGGATTAAGAACAGTTCGGACATGATATAATTAGAGAAGAGAAACACGGAATAACTATTTATCAGTTATGATTATTTCATTCTTTCTCCATGGATGAAGAACACTGATAGAAAAACAAAAAGCTCATTTAGAAACACATTGAAAAATAAATCCTAATGGAGTTTTCTGCTATGTTTCGACAAGTTGATGACAAATTCCACTAGATGAAATAATACATTTTTGACTGTTTTTACACAAAGTTCTCAGTCAAATTCGACTCGAGCTACTTCAGAACTCAAAGAATTACTCTTTTTCGGCTGTACTGCATGCTGACGCTCAGTACAAGAGTAAAGTAAGAGTTTCACTGAGAAATTTGTGTGAAAACAGTCAGAAATGGATTATCTCGTCTAATGAAGGTTGTCACCAAGTTGTTCGAAAGCGTTTTACAGAAGAACGATTGCCATGAGACACAGCATAATCGATAACTTATGTTCTATCAGGTTAAGCCTGATTAAACCTGATAGAAGCCTCAGAGCCGCTCTCCTCTGCTTTAGAGTCCTGTTACCATTTACCATCCGTAGACATTTTTTTACCATTACCGTTACTGTGGTAATGATAATGGAATTTCCATGGTAACAGAACATATTCCCACAGAAGGGAAAGAGAAAAAACATAAACACATGCATAAGACAGAAAATAAAGAATATGTAGGATGATGGACTAGCCTGAACGTTATATAACTTTTGACTGTATTATATACACTCAAGTGATGTACGATACCATTTATAATAAAGAGATGGTATGATTATGAACTGGAATATGAAAAGTATTCGTTACCACTACCACTACCATTATCATTAACATGAACTTAAATTTTTGTTATCATTTACCATCTATTACTAGGAATTAAAATGTTTTTTTTACCATTACCATTACCATGGTATGGTAATGGACTTTTTTTGTCACCGCAGGACTCTACTCTGCTTTCGAGTATTCGAGTATTACTCGAAAGCAGAAGAGAGCAGCCCTTCTAAAAATCCGATAGCAAATAGACGAAGAGTTTGAATGTCTGCCATTTTGATGAGACTAACTGTGCGTGTTAAAGACAGACATGTGATTACTTTGATTCTTGAAAATTCATACTGCTCTTCCATCATGAAATCATCCTCAATCTTTCTATTTTCAAATGGACAGCAGTGTGACTATGTACAATCATCTTATTTTATAGCTAGATTTAGATATTGAGTTATTTATTACAGATTAGGTCTGATTTTGATTAAAAAAGTTGAAGATAATAAAAACAATCTGAATATTGATAAACTTTAGAGTAATAATAGCCAAAGTTCACTGTAATTGTGTATTATAGATAGTATTTTTTTTGAAATGGTTACGAAGGAGAAGTCTGCGAATGATTAGTTTTGGGCTCAGAGATCTTGAAATAATGATTTTGCCGTATCTGAAGAGTACCTTATAGGAAAGTACAAAAACTGACCTCAACATTGTGCCAGACTTAGAAAGCGAATTTCTATTTAAATGTGGTCTGTAAAATACAAATAATTCTTGACTATTTATTCATGATCCAGTTGCTAAAGACAGTTTTTATTTGTCATGAAACAGATATCAAAATGTTAACTCACAATATTAAAAATACTCGATTTTGCAAAGTATGTTGCTGTTCCTAAAATGTTTTTCTTTACACCTACATGACGTAGGCGATACATGCCCACAGTTTGATTTTTAGGTATAAACCATTGTACAGTGATTAAACTATAATCAAATGATTGACGTTCCCACAAGAAACGTGTTTCCCAATCAGCATCAGTCAAAATTGTCACCCATTGGCTAGTTGAAGCATTATATTGATCGACGTACAAATAAGACTTTTCTGTTAATAAATCATGTCTCGGATTTCCGCCATACCATGTACAATTTACAACAGCACCACCTCGATATTGAGACGCCACATCATGAACAATATCACCGAAGTCCTTGCCAACAGGAACACCTTGAATGGATGAAACATTTGAGAAAGATGTAGCACCAACCGATAACTGAACTTGGAATCTTACCGTCCCATAATGGTGGCAGCACAAACGAGAATGTTTTTCCTCTCATATCGACTAAAACATTTAAAAAATGATGTAAACAATTAGCAGAGATGATGTATGCACGAGTCTTATGAAAATAACTGTCACATTCAAATGAATGATTGAATATAAAACGAATAACCTACTGGGTGATGGACCATCGGGCAATGTTTTATTCATGACTAAAGCTGTCGTTAATTGATCAAATATTTGTTGATAGGCAGCCAAAGTATGAGGACCGTACAATGTAGAGGCACCTTCATAACGTTGTTGTTGATATTCTTCATAGGTAGTAACATAATGAGAATAACTATTAGACAAACCAGCAATGACGATATGACTTGAATTAGTCCAAGCACCCTAAAATAGAACAAAATCCCATTTCTATTATTTATCACTTTCAACGGGAAAATTCTGACATATACAAAGCCAAACAGATGTACTTTCTTCATATATTCTATATTATATATATTACCCAGCAGAAAACAAAATATCAACTATCGGGCAATATAACTAGCTAACACAATACATAACTAGATACACTCAGCTAACTCAATAAAAGTGGTACAGATAGCCAGCTACCACAAGTCTATATTGTCCGATACCATAATTTTATAGCTAGATATTCTCAAAGACGTTTTTTTTGCTTGGAATTAATCTCAATACTACTTACTGCATTTTGAAGTGCTGTTTTAACTGTCAATTTTATTCGTCTCCCACTCATTGTTGTAAATTCACCTGGTACACTAATAATATATAAATTTCCTATACGATAGAGTTGCATTGGTAGTATATACGGCACCCATTCAATCGGTTTAACTTGACCAACATCTAATAAGATAGGTTTCGGTTCGTGACATGCAATTTGTTCGGGAGTTGGATTAGCGATAAATGCTGAGACAAATCGCCAAAATGGATTTGGTGATGTTGTAGACTGAGTAAAGTCAAATGCACCCGGACCATCTGTAGTTCCAGCAGCAAATGAATAACCCAGAGCAGCTTGACACGTGGTAACATTTTTACCAGTGGTAGTAAACTTACTGCTCACATTCTGTGTCTAAAATGAAAGAAAATATTTAAAAAAAATTTCTCTGAATAAACTACAAAGTTCGTTATTTTTACTTGCATATCCGTGTAAATATGTCGATAATCTACGCCACTTGTTAAATAAATTTCAGCCGAATTGTATAAATCTCTAGCACTTTCAAATTGCATTCGACCAATTATTTCTGTACTTTCATATTGTGTTGAACCTGGACCGAATGCAATACATAATTCATTTTTGCCATCACATGTTGACGTATTAAAATCACACGGTAATCCGGTATCAATGCATCGAGGACCAGCCGTATTTGGAGATACATCACCTTCATTACTTTGACCAAAGGCTGCCACAAATTTTCCCGTACCAGGTAAAGCATCTAGAAAAAATGGTAGAACTTTATAAATATCTATATATATCATGTACTAGCATACCTGGATTTTTATATTTTTCAAAAAGATAACTTGCATATCCTTTATTATCACCAGCTACTAACATATTTGTATTATTTAAACTAACACCATGTACTGGAAAAAAATTAATCATTCCAAGTTCTGTTCGATCAACACTCTCAAATCTTAATACTGTTATCTCATGATCAGTATTTGTTTCATATTGTGAACGATCTTCATCTCGTAAATATGATGCGGGAGAACGATTAATATTGGCATTATCCAATTTACCTACATTTATTTTAATGTAACCTGGCTGTAAATTATTGTGTGCTCGTTGAATAGCACCAACAACACCAGCAACACACGCTTCCCAATTTTCTTTCACAAATCCAAATGTTGTAATATCAACGAGAACTGTTCCACCCGTGCCACCTGGTGTTGAATGTGTATGTGTACCAGATAGGAGAACATTTTTAAGCGTATATAAATTTTGATACAATTTTTGTAATCGATCAATTACTTCAATTCTAACCATTTGAAATGCCATGGCATTATCCATGGATACATAGACTACGCGATTATTTGGCGGAGATGGATCAACTATAATAAAGGCACGTGCACGCATACGTTGTAAAAGACCAATACCACGCTGTGCTGGAACAGCATAACCCATGAAACCAACTTAAAAATAAAATAAACAAACGGATAATGTATCTTATAAATATCATAAATGATATTTTACTTTCAGCTACTTCACCCGTTATATCGAACATGCCAGCACCAACCTAAATATACATAACAATAACTATATCATTACTCAAATTCGAATTGTTTTAAATCAGAAAAATTAGCTTATCTGACTACTGTTTGAATACAGGGTGGTTCAAAGGTGGCTTTATCGAAGTAGACACATATTATTCTGTACATCTTTATTTTGATTAAGCTCGTTTTTATACCAAAAGATTCCCAGTTGAATTCTCTACAAAAAATGTATTGACTGTTTCATTAAAAAACCCTATTTTCCATCTATAATTTAAATAATTTTCAATTAGAATTGAGGGCACAAGAATTTCATTTTTTTTGCCAATTTTTCAAAAACTGACGATTTTTTACCAATAATTTGAGCCTTCTAATAAAAAAAACAAAGATTCGTCAAACTTGATTCATTCAAGTGGATTTTTTTAATTTTGAAAATAAGTGATTAGTCGTTATGATTGAATCTCTAAGATTTGGAAAAAAATTGCTTTGGTCCACCGCGCAAAAAAAAAGGTAATAACTTTTGAACTTTTCACTTGATTATTGAGAACTTAATCTATGCGTCGGATATTTAGATTCAAACGATTTTCGCTTTACACAACGAGATAGAGCGTATTTGAAACTACACAAAACTATACTGAAACTGTATTTTAATGTTTGTGAATTCATTCGAGAAAATTTCGTTTTCTTTGAGAAAATACGTTTATTTTTTCTACATATTAGTACTTCTCACAATTTCCCATGGAATTTTGCATCTTCGGATTTTGTAATAAAACAGTCAATACATTTTTTGTAGAGAATTCAACGAAGGATCTTTTGGTATAAAAACGAGCTTAATCAAAATAAAGATGTACAGAATAATGTGTGTCTACCTCGGTAGAGCTACCTTTGGGTCATCCTGTATATTTGCAGCAACTTTTTTGGTTTATTAGACACGATATAATGAGAAAAATCATCATTTCATGCTCTATAGAACTCCCTCGCTACCTTCGAAGAAGAGGAAGTTACAGTTTTATACCCAAAACCGCTGTTTTTAAGATAACTTTGACCTCCCCTCCCCCTCCTGGAGGACACAACCTGTTAAAATACCACATACAACCTCCTAAAGTGGTAGTCACAACCTCTTAAAAAGGCGCACACTTCTTAGAAAGACGCACACAACATGTTGTGTTGGTGATGAAAATTTCTTAGATCGATTTGAATAACCGTTGGGTGTTAAAAAAATTTCATCTATATTCTTCAACTTTCATCAGTATATTAAACTTTTATTCCAGTTTAGAACTAACTTTCTTTAAAGACTAGACATCTCATGACGGAACTGTTTAACTGTCAAATCGTTTTTTCAATGACTCCACTTTTTGGAAAACCAGTTTTTAAGAAACGTTAAAAAGATAACCAAAACCTTTTCTAATGAGGTATAATTGTAGCGCGCACATTTCTGATTAAAATGAGATATCTCCCAGCTCTACACGATCTTTCTTTGCAAAGTTATAGAATTTACAAGAAAAGCCCTAAATATTTATTGTCAGCTCAAAGCTACAGAAATAAGAAGAAATTAATTTAGGGCTTTTCTTGTAAATTCTATAACTTTGCAAAGAAAGATCGTGTAGAGCTGGGAGATATCTCATTTTAATCAGAAATGTGCGCGCTACAATTATACTTCCTTAGGAAAGGTTTTAGTTATATTTTAGAGTTTCTGAAAAACTGATTTTCCAAAAATCGGATCGCTGGAGACCTTTGGGCAACTGCCATGGTCATATTTGAAATCAGCATAGTCGATAACCTATAATTGACTAGGTCTCATTGAACAAAAGATTTGACAGTTAAATCGATTCCCTCGTCAGTATTGGGATTTCCACTCTTTAGCATCTTTAGATGCTACTAGGCCTGCACCAGTTTTTAACTGGTGTTGGGGCATCCGGGCGAATTGCTATACATCAGTTATCAGGATTCTCTCAGATGTATGAAACATCTCATTTTGTAGAAAAATATTTGCTCTACAAAATGCATTGTTAAAAGAATTTCAGAATCGTTTCTAAGAAGACAGAGCATTCTAAAATGTACCAAATCTCGAAAAAAAACTGTTCGAACCGGTTTTTTTCCGTGATTTAATGTATTTTTGAATACTCTAAGTGTTCTTAGAAATGATTCTGAAATTCTTTTAACAAATGCATTTTGTAGAGCAAATATTTTTCTACAAAATGAGATGTTTCATAGATCTGAGAGAATCGATTTTAACTGATGTATAACAATTCTACCGGATGCCCCAACACCAGTTAAAAACTGGTGCATGCCTAGGTGCTACCCTGCCTGCATTTCTACTTGTTGATAAAAGACAATAGTTTTGACCAGGTGTATGAAACGTCGACTTATTAGATATATACATTAAACGAGTATAAATTATTGAATCAAAAACATTTCCAAAGCCTTAGAATTGTTGGCTGACCTTTATATACATGAGCTTACCAGAAATTGTCCGGGTGTTTCATTGACTTGAGTAGGTGCTGTTTGAATGGTGGAAATGAACAAGAGAAAAGTAAAGAAAATTGCGACGATGTATCGCATCATTGAAAATTTGTTATAAACTAATAACAAATTTAAAACGATCTAAAATTAACACAACAAAAAACAAAAAAATGAAAAGCTATTTATTTGTTTGTCTCAGTTATAATTATGTTTGAATCTACCTATCACATATTTTTTTTAATATAGATTACAGATGAATTATTTACATAAGGTAACATATTGTTGACCGACATTCTACCCATGATGAAAGAACTAAATGAAAAAAACTTTCAAAACTAAATTATGTCCGATAGAAGAAGACACTCCTCTGACGTATACGAACAAAAATATTGAATGCCCAATTTTAGAATATAAATAACAATATTTATGTTACAGAATTTTTTAAAAATATTAATTTCTAACACTCTACTGCAAGAGTAATTCTTGCACTAAGATTCAGTGTTACTATACATGTTTATTTTCTATTTTTAAATATAAATTGTTTGTTGAGAAAAAACACCATAGAGTTATCAAATGTGATATCGCATTATCTCACGTACTATATTTGAAGTTGAATTTCATGTTGGCGATTCACTGCTACTTTCACGATCAGTAACAGTTGTTGGTGAATGTAAATTACTTTGAATTTGTTTGACAGCGGCTGCTGCAGCAATGATCTTTGCCGCTTTCTTCTTTTGCATTGATCTACTATAAAAATAGAATGAAACAAAAAATATTCGATATTTGATATACATGAAATAGATGTGCCAGTAAATAAATCAGCTCCTTACTGTTTTTCTCAACATTCATATATCTGACAATATAAAAGATAACTCTGTTTTAAAGCGGAAGATCATTTGAAAGAGAGAATGTGCGATAGTTAAGATAAGAGTGATCGTTGTGTCTTACTTATAGATAAAAAATAGAATAACGGCAGATGCTATGGCAATAAACAGTACAATTATAACATAAATCCAGGTATCATCGTTCATTGGAGTAGATACAGTATCTGTTTTTTGTCTATTTACATTCATATTGTTCTCACTTAGTTTCAGTGGTTGATTTTGACTATACTCGTTAGATGGAGCTAAAATGGAATGAATCGCTTTAAGGATATCTTCCATTCTACTTTTTGATAGAGTTTTCCGCTTTGAGTGGAACAGACCTTAATTAAGAGGAAGATGAAGACTCCAGAGTTAATAATAAAATAACTTTCAAAGTTCCACGATCTTTTCTTTTTCCATCAGTTACGGAATTTTCAAGTTATTGCTCAACAAGGTGAGAAACTTAATTTTTAGATTTTTTTTAATTTTTGTTTCTAGTGCCTTCAAAATTTTTTCTTAGATATAGTCTAACAGAAAGTGTTCTTTTCATAATGAGACCACTTTGGAAGTTTTCCAGTAGTTGGTTTTCACGAAGATATAAGTATCACAGTGAATGCTCTGAAAAACGTGACCTATCGAATGTTATCTGAAATGTTCAAAACCCTAGTGGTTCTCATTCAGCCACATCACGATCGCTCGAAAAACGGATTCGAAAAAAAAACTAGGAAAATTGATGTTCCTATCGTATATAAAAGCTGTTATTATCATTTAATTTTAAAATCATTCAACAAATTTCAATGAGAATAGATGACAGTGATTTCGATTGAATGGTGCGAAGCAGGAGTGGGATTGTTTCAGTTCTTATAGAGATTCTGTTCTTTTAAAAAAGAACTAGTAGGCAGGCACTTAGAACTCTTTTGAAACGAACGAGTGATGAGATCTCGTTCAAATGAAATGAGCTCAAATTATATCATTCCTAATTCGTACACATCAGTCTTTAAATCGTCTTCGAAAAAATATAAGATGGGCGGCATCGAGTTTTCCAAATGATGGTATAATATAAGAAAGGTAAAAGACAGGAAACCTATGATAGGAAGAAGAGAACGAGGATGCTCAAAGATATCAAGAGATGATAATACGCGAGAAATAAACAGTGTAATGAGAATGGCACAAAGAGTGTCTAAAATAATGACGGTGATACAATGAAAAATAATGGAAACGCGAAAATGAGAGATAAAGTACAACAACAATCACTGAGGAATTCATCAAACAAATAATAAAAATATTAACACTATTAGCAACAGCTTCAAACGGTATTTTGTTGAATATAAATATTACAAACAAGGAAGATAATAACGATAATGAGCTGAATTAACTATAAAGGGGGAGGGGAGCAAGACGATAGCGGAAAAAAATGTTTTTTTCGCCCTTTTTTTTATTCAATAGCGCAAAAATGACCTTTTATATGGGGAACAGANCCCCCCCCCCCCCCCCCCCCCCCCCCCCCCCCCCCCCCCCCCCCCCCCCCCCCCCCCCCCCCCCCCCCCCCCCCCCCCCCCCCCCCCCCCATTTGAGTGAGAATCGATCCACTCGGATTTTTCCACTTCCAATGACCGAATTTATTAAAAAAGTCACGTTTCTACCGTTCTCTGCCATTCCCAAGCGGAAACATTAGCGCAAAATCGACTTTTTATACGGGGAACAGAATCGGTCCAAATTTTTTTTCTGAAGAGCTTATTATATGAATCGAGGGGCAGCAAAGTATCTCTTGATTCAAATCACTTTTCGCATTTTGGCGCCAATAGTAGCGTGTTTTAAGTGGCGCCACTATTGGCGCCAAAATGCGAAAAGTGATTTGAATCAAGAGATACTTTGCTGCCCGTCGATTCATATAATAAGCTCTTCAGAAAAAAAAATTTGGACCGATTCTGTTCCCCGTAAAAAAGGTCGCTTTTGCGCTAAGGCATATTGTGTACTCATATACGACAAAACAATTAGAATTAAGAATCGTCTGATCAGAGAGAATAAAATAAAAACGGCACGTATCTTGTTTAAAGTACAACTGACATTTCTGCCAATATTTCGTCGTTTCATTCTCGATAGAATAAATTACTTTCGGCGCAATAATTTGTCTATATTGTTTTCCGGCAAGAATTATTCATGGCATTGCCATAGACAGATGATCCGTTATGGAAAGAGCATTTCGAAATGCATTTATGATCCGTCTATGGAAAGAACAAACATCGTTAATCTTGTTATTATAATAGATAGATAAGGAAGAAAATTCGGCTTTTTAGGGCTGTAGTTTTTAGGACTGTAGTTTAGGGTCTTACAAAATGGTTGTCTGTCTGTGCGCAAAATACGGAGAAATGGCTGTTACATGTTCTATGATAAGGAAGCAATGATTTCCTAAGGATACATTGATTTCCTAAGGATACATAAAATCTTGTAAGGTTTTATGAAATCTCATCCTCAGGATTCGCAAGATGTTATAAGATCCTCTAAAATCATAGAAGACATTGAAGAGTCGGAAATACGTCGAATTGTAAATCGATTTTTAATGGTGATTATAACTATTTTAACGTTTGATCGAAAATTTAAAATAGTTATAAATCTAGACGCGATTTCTAAACCTGAAACTGTTTATAAATCCGAAATCGGTTTATAAATCGATTTATATATAACGCACCGGTTTATAACTATGTTAACTTTTTGCTGATTTCGATCAACTTTTAACTTTAGAAAAATCATTTCGGGCTCTTCAATGTCATACAGAGTGATGTGAAATCTTGTAAATTCTTATCATAAGGTCTTATAAGATCCTACTGCATGTTTGAATGGTCCAACATACAAACCATACTTATAACATCTTATAGTATGATCTTGTAATATGTGAAAATCTTGTGACTTCTTGTAAGGTCGTATAATTTCTTATAGCTTCCTTGTGTAAGATCTTGCAAAATCATTTGATAAGAAAAATCTCGTAAAATTTTATAAGAATCTTCCCACAAGGTGTCACATAAAATCTTGTAAGATCTTATAGGAAATTGATAAGAATTTATAAGATAGTTTGAAATCTTTTGATTTCTTATCATATAATCTTTCAAGATGGTATATGATCTTATAGGATCTTTCGAGATCTTGATATCTGATTCTTGGATTTGGGTTGCTTTAAATTCTACTAGGTCGAGAAATGTTTTCTCTTACATCCTCTTTCTCTCTACTAGAGAAGATATATAAAGTGGAAATTTGTGTACTTTAGATATGGCACATAAAATCGGTGAAGCAACTAAGTCACTGAATAAGACGAGAGCTATCAAACCAAATGAGCTGAAACTTGGTACTTAAGACTTTTAGAAAATGCTCTTTCTTACGTAAAAGTTACAAGACCTAAAATTCTTTTGATTTTACCATAAGAAAGAATATGTTTTAAAAGTTTGAAGAACTAAGTTTCAGTTCATTCGGTTGAATAGGTTAGAAAGTAGTCTAGAGCAACTTTCCTATGTTGTGCGCCTATTCTTCTTTATTTGCTAGCATTTGCTAGCACATGCGTCGATGGAACGTAATGATCCTCTAATATGGTAAGTGAAAGAAAACGTTTATGCTGATTCACAAGGATATCTCTTTTAGTAAATCCTGTGGCATGATGGACCATACGATGTTCGGCTGCGAATTAAACATCGTAAATTTACAGTTATAAGTTTTAACTCTTGGTAATCGAATTGATTGGTGTTCTACAAAGTGTTGTAATGGACATTAAAGATTGTTTATTACCCGTTGTAAGAGGTTACATAATAAATCGTGTCACTTTTCCTGGGGGTGGTTTTCAAGGAAACAGCATACATCAATCAATTCGGAATTTGACGAGAATTCTAGATATCCTGTCCCTTTTCCTGGACAACTCTTAATTTTTGAGAAAACGAAAAACTGCTTTTGCGTGGAAACTAGCGCTTTTTACTCTATTCTGCCTTTTTTCTGTGTTCTGAATATGTTCTTTTTTCTCTAATTTCTCGTATTTTTATGTTATCGGAATAAACAGACAGAACGAAAAAGAGAATATTCATGTACAGTTTGTATTGAACATTGATTTGTGCAGACAGACAGCTATACTTTGGTGTGAATGATCATTTATTCTTCAACTCACAAAAATCTCTCATTATGAATTTAATGCACTATCCGTCAATTTAATTGCTTTCTTCAATTGCTGTCGAATAAAATAAGCTTAATTGATAGTAACTTTTTCCGATTTATAGCAAAATGCAGAACATTCGACTTGGGCTTTAAATAGACAGAGTGTTTTTCAAAAGGATACAGTCTAACTATTAAGTTATTTGTTTCACAATATGAGTGTCTGACTAAACAAAATACAACATTCTTCTGTATATATGTCAAAAACGTTGATGATCAATTCTGAAATAACATTGTTTGACTACTACGACTTTCGGCTTCCTCTTCAGGTCACACTACTCAAATCTTCCATTCAGCGTCAAGCAGATCTATTGTATACTGGCAGACCTAAAGTGAATAATTGTTAAGAGACTGATACATAAAAAGACTATCTTTGTCAACTGACAGGTTGACCCTCATCCTCTTTAAACAAGATAGGTGCCGTTTTTATTTTATTCCCTTTGATTCTATAATTCTTAATTCTAATTTTTTTTTGGGTAGCACTATTGCCACTGCCGGAGGTATACACAAGGAGCTAGAAGGTGTTAACTGAACCTATTACCACCCTCTAAGGATGTCAAATAGAGCTATACCTTCATGCATAGTACTATGTTAGATGGTGTCAGTTAGAGTGACACGACTCTTCCGCGAATTTTTTATAATATAAATTCAGGTATTTTTCGTAACTTCTGTTGGGGGTTCCGGAAGGT